ATCAACTCGTTCGCTGAGCATTCAACAAGTCTTCCTTCTACTCCTTCAACTTCTTTACAAACCCTCAACAACAACAACATGAAGGTAAGACTTGGACACAAACATCTTGTATATTCTGCTTTGGAATTGGCGCTAATCTTGGTGCTTCTCCTGCCTCCAATTTACAGTTCGCCGTTGCCGTAGTCATGTTCGTGTGCGCCTTTGCCGGTGCCCAGGCTTCGTGGGGCGCCATTGCTCCCGGTGTTTCCTATGTGAACTCTGTGTCGCATGGTGGACCCGGTCTGTGGGGTGGTGCCTGGAATGGTGCCTGGAACGGTGCCTGGAATGGTGGCTGGAACAATGGCTGGGCCGCACCCGCTGCCGTTGCCGTTCACGCCAGCGCACCCTGGGGTCTCTCTGCTCCCGGCTGGCACGGTGGTGTTCCCGGCATTGCCCTCGCTCAGGGTCCCGGTGCCGGTGCTATTGGTCCTCATGGTCATGAGGGCGTCTATGTGGCCAAGACTCGTGGCGCCATCCACACCGCTCCCCTCGCCGGTCACATCAACTCGGCCACCTCCGTGAATGTGGCTCCTGCACCCGGAACCCTGTAAATGCTGCCAAAAAATAACAAAAAACAAACAACAAAACGAATGCCAAATGAAGTGAGCAGCTGGCGGGCAGGACAACACAACGTCGGGATCACCGTGCAATTGGCCAACCAGTTGTTGTCTGACTCTACGCTATCAACTTCTTTCCACGATTTCAACGACTCTCTACTCGGATACTCTACCACCATCACAGCCACCCATTAATTTTAAGCACACCGCTCTTAGTCCCGTTTGCGAACCAGCACGGGGATTCTGCGGGCGATTCGTCGCTTGGGGATTCCCCGGACTGGTTCACACCAAAACACACTCACTCACGCGCACATTTGAGTTAGTTCAGTGTTCAGCAAATAAGTCCAACAACAGCAACAACAACAATTACAACAACTACAACCAACAAATAACAGCATGTTAATTTCTTATTACTTGAGAACTTTACCAAGCACCACCAGCTTATCCGGCTTTCCCTCTATCTATCCTTCCATCTATATATATTTGCAACAATATACTTTCTATCTATCACACTCTATACCTTTATTCCTTTCTATCTGTCTACCCTCGAGCTGTATGCAGCACAAAAATCTGTACATATTCGGTGTATATATATACATATATATACATACATACACATAAACTTATTGTAGTAATTTGCAACAATTGTAAGATTGACGAAAAACGTTTTAAATAAACTCATTCAGCGTTTTTATTTATGCGAAGATTTTACGGATTTTATTTACAAATGTTTGGGTGAGAGTGTCTACAGCTGAAAAGATAAAAGTTTTAAAATAAAGTTATGAGAATATTTGATTGAAAAACTCTATTCTAATTTCTAGATATTTCTTATTATTATTCCATCATAGTTTATAGCTCGAAGGTCCTTCTCTGATATATCCAATAATCTTATAATCTAGCTATAGCTATTTATACATTTTCTTTATAATATTCCATCACAGTTTTTAGCTTTAATGTCCCTCTCTGATATATCCTATAATATCCTTATCTAGCTATAGCTGAGCATATGCCGAATATTGGGATACTCTGATAAGAACGGATGCCACGCCTTGGAAATTTGGCTTATGTTTCACATGACTTTAAACTTTAAACTTCTAATTTACTTAGGATTTTTCAGTGTTATACAAAGAACTAATAGAAGCATGGAGTTTTGTCTTCAATCGCAATGCTCCTGGAACTAAAGCGTTAATTATTTTAAGGGATAACTTTACCAGAATTAACAGGGAGCAAAGAAAAAAAACATGTTTTTTTTTTCTTAAAATTTATTTTCATGTAATAAAGTATAAATGTTTCTTATAAGAAACTAAGATGTATAGGAACTAGTTCCCAAGCTGCCCTGTTAAGTTGGCTGCGTTAAAGCGTGCTTATTAAGTTGGCCGCACTAAGCTCACATTAGGTACTCACTCAAAGGTACCCTACGCTCCAAAATACCTAACCCAATCCATATAAAAACAATTAAAAGGTAATCATTAAAATACCTTAGCCATGTAATTAAATCTGTAATCAAATTAATAAACAGTACTATAAAATGCGACCTTTGGTCGTAGCACCCATAGATCTAACCTTGAGAAAAATTACAGATTGCTTAATTGATTGCATATCGAAAAGAATGTCTAGATCAAATATGTCTTTGTGCTAGCTTAAGTGTTTTGATCGACGCTGTACACTTAGCAGTTAATACTAGATGATATGTTTCGACTATTTTTTTATGGCCATTGAACGGTAGTCACGACCGGGCCAATGTACATTTGAGCCAACTAATTGTTGGCAATTTAATATGCGACCACAGGGCGTATGCTTAATTATGCAAACGCTTAGCGCTAATTACAGCCCAGAAATGGTAACAGCCCGAGCACCTGAGACCAGATCGAACTCTATAATGTAGCCGATATATATGTATATATGTGTTCTCGATAGAGGTTTAAATTATGGCAGCAGTAAATTACAGCTTATCAGCACAAGTAACTCAACTTGAACTCTTTCAGAGCTATGGATACATTTGTTTTTCTCTTTTTGGCGTTGGCGTTGGCGTCTTGGCCAATATTTGTCGGCCGATCTGTGAGGTGTTTGGGGCTGCTCAAATGGGTGTCTTTAGTGCAACGACACCTGACTGGTTTTCCTGGCTTTGTTTGGGGTTTTCTTTCTGTTTGTTTTTTTTTTTTTTTGACAGCCGCTTCAGAACTGGTTCGCAATGCGGCTGCAATTGGCAAGGTTTTCGATTTTTATGTTTCTATTCAATTTTGTTGTTGTTGTTGCTTGCAACCAAATCGAATTGTTTGCCATTTGCATAATTGAATTGTTGTTTTTTGTCTTTTAGCGGGTGTCTTTGTGCTGCGATTTAATTGCTCCACCTAATGGCTATCTGCGTGGGTGGATCCGACTGGAATCCGGCTGTAAGTCTCTGCCTGTCTCTGCAACACCCACGACCGAGGGAGTGGCTCTTGTGTGTTATGTAAAATCCATTTAAATGCACTCCATTTTGCAATCGAAGGCGGCATAATTAAAATACATTAAAGAAGTTATCAAATAGGTTAAATGTTCTTGGAAACGAAATCGTATAGCCGTAAGCCTGTCTTTCGGGATTTCCAGTTTAATATTCTATTCAAGTTTAATATTCCCCTGTAGCTTAAGATTTTACTCTAGGTTAATTGTAGTCGATTTTAGCACAAAGAGAATTCTTAGATGTTAGCCTAATTCTTCGAGTCCGCCATAATATCATTTTTGATATTCCCTAGGTAACTCGTAGTCGGTGGAGGAAGCTAAAAAAATTCGCAGAAAATAATCTATCAAGACTTCAGCTTTTATTTAATGTGGTACATTTTCCGCCGAATTCATTTTAAAAATATTAACAAACTTTCACGAAATCATTTTCAAAATGCCAAAAAACCTAAACATGTAAGGTTCCCAAGAAGTTACTAGATCTTAAATTCTATAATATTTTAAGAACTAAACCGAGCTGAAAGGAATTGAAGGAAGTTGTCAAATACGTTAAATGTTCTGTGCAACTCTCTACGATCATAGCATAATGGAAATTCTCCATGTGATCGCATTTAAACATAAGATGTTAGCCTAACTCATCGAGATTTTCATAATGTCATGTTTAATATTCCCTAGGTAAATCGTAGTCGGTGGATGAAGCTAACAAGGGAAGCATGAAGAAAAAACTCTATCAAGACTTCAGCCTCACATTTTGATGTGGTTCAATTTCCGTCGAAATCATTTAAAAAATTAAATTTTCATTTTTTAACTTGTATTTTATTTGTTATCTGTCTTGTGACAGGATTGTCTGAGCTCCAATGAGTTCAAACAATATATATTATATATATTATATTGTTATATATTATTATTATATTAAATTACATTATAGTTTGTTTATTTAACCTAATTTATGACGATATATGAAAGATCCAGCACATGGAATCTTTTGAAGCGTCGTGTGTCCATACTGTTGTCTAAGAGACCCAGAGCCAAGTTATTTTTGTGATTGTGTAACCTATTTATATATAGCTGACAGAACATCTACTTACTTACTTAATTCACTTCAGACAAAGGGCAATGCTTAGGTCTTTATACCAAGGAGAAATAGACTGATACCTATGCAGGATTTCTATGTTGGAGTTGCTTGCAGTCAAAAAACTTTCACGAAATTATTTCTAAAAAATGAAACAACATAAAATTGTAAAGTTCTCAGTTCCTAGATCTAAAATTCGTCTCATTTTGTAAGAAATAAACCGAGCTTGAAGGAATTTTGTCGATGTTGGGACTTTTTCTCTGATGCTGCATCTAGAATCTGAATTTACCAAATTTTTAATTATTTTTATTTTATTTTCTGTTAATATAGAATTTGCGCAGCCCGTTTAAACTTATAAAGAGTTAGTTAATTATATGAAATTTGTTTAAAATTGATTTATTCAAATGAATAGATATTATCTGTGAACCAATTATAGAGTTTTGGATTGCAAATCAATAAGGTGTGCTGGGCCATAGCCAAATCAGGATATGGAAACGAACCATAATTGGATTGCCAGCTAGTCACATTATATGCTAATGAAATACAACAACAATTAAGTAATTATAAAAAAGAAATAAAATTAAATCAGAGCAAGCGTCGAGGCAGTGAAAATAGTTTAACCGGAACTGCAGCTGAAAAGTTGGGTTGGGCACCGCACAGCGCCAAATGCATTTCTGAACATGGCCAAGATCTATTGGGCTTGATCGATCGACTGAGTGTTGACTGTGAAGTGTGAAGTGTGAAGTGTGTGTGTGTGTGTGTGTGTGTGTGTGTGTGAGCCGTGTTGCTGCTCATGTGAACGCCTGCATGTGGCATGTCATTAGCTGTAATCACATGTATGCAAAAGATATGGATATATAATATAATATATCTAACTGAAGTCGAACTCTCACTTGGCTGAACTTTTGCTGACCATTGTTGACGGACGTTAGCTGCATTTTTTCTGCTATAAAACTGGCCACAGTACAGCCAAGAGATCAGTTCAGAACAAGAGTTCATTAAGAGCGCAACAAAGCAACACACAATTAGCAAAATGAAAGTGAGTATCCGCAGGGATTTCAGATCTTGCCCGGATTCTGATTTCTATTTCGCCCGCAGTTCGCCATCGCCGTTGTCTTCACCCTGGCCCTCGCCATGGGCGTGCAGTCGTCGGTCATTCCGTTGATCTCTCAGCTGGCTGGCCATGGCCTGTCCTATACGGCCGTTGCCAATCCCGTGCTGGCTGCTCATTGGGGCGTACCTGCTGCTCACTGGCCCGCCGCCGTCTCCGTTGGCTCCTGGCCGCCTTCAGCCCATGGACCTGCTCTGATCGCTGGTCACGGAGCCGCCGTGGTGGCTTCGCATGCGCCCGCTGTGGTTGTCGCACCCGTTGCCCACGAGGGCGTCTATACCGCACAGACCCGTGGCGCCGTCCACACCGCTCCGCTGTCCGGCCACATTCAGTCCGTGGCTTCGATCAATGCTGCTCCCGCTCCCGGCACCATCTAATTACGGATTTTTTGTCAATTGCAAATGAATATGTTAATGAATAATGTTGTAAATATTTGTATACTCATAAACAGGGTACTCGCACCAGCCATCTAAATTCTCCTTTCGAACGCACTCGCAACAATCTCGCTCGCTCTATTTATTCAAAAGCCATTTTCGTAACAAAATGAAAAAAAAACCAACTGTGTAAGCGACTTTCTTTCTAGATAATAAATCTATTTAAAAAAGTTCAAATCAATGAATTTTTCTTGCAACTATTTTGTGTTAATGTTCAAAGATATCTGGTGTTTCTAGTCCTTCATTGATTAAGCTAAAATAATTCCTTTTGATAAACTTTTAACTTTTCAAAGTCTCTGGAATGGATTTAGTTTATGGATTCAATTAAAGTTAATGCGACCATACATTTTCAAAAAGTTTTGTGTAATAGTTCATTAAAAACTAACCAAAAAAAGTTAAAATATTAGAAGTTTTCTTAACATTTTTGTATTAACATACATTGATTACATTTATTGATTAACATTTTTGACTTGTTTTTTAACATTAAACTTTCTAGCTCCTTTAGACTTACATAGATTCCTTACTGTTTTAACTTTTAATAACAATTGAAAACTTATTTAAATCTCTACAATTTCTAGACATTTCTTTAATCAGACTCACTAATTAAAACAACCTACAAATGTGTTTTAGGTCTATACAAAACAACAGTTCTAGAGTTTCTCAAAATGATTCACTGAGTAGTACTACCCATAAAGTGGCTCAAGGTTTGATTAGAATTTCTAGTCTAGCAACGCGTATAGTCATTCGATTTAGTTAGTTAGTCAGCTGCTAAGATAAAGGTCTTGACTTTAATTACGCGCATAAGCTGTTATATCGCAATTAACGGACTTTGTAATGCAAAACAAGTCTCATTTAGCTGTAAATTGAGAAATCATCAGAGTCATAAGAACAAATGAGATATCTTTACATATATATCTATTTATATATAAAGCTGTTTGTCCTCACTGACTGACTGGCTGACTTATTGACTGACTGATTGATGAATGACGCACAGCCCAAACCGTAGGAGCTAGGAAGCTGAAATTTTCACTGTAGTTACCTTTCCATGGTTTGGTCCCTAAAATAATTTGGCATTCAAATCTGGTCACTTAATTTTTCATCGAAATTCATGTGTCAATTTTGACGATGTTTGGCTCTTTGCTCATTGTTTTTACTACCCGAATTTCTTATTCTATTCATTTTTATTATTATATATTTATTTATTTCTATTTTTTTCGCTGCCAAGCTTCAATTGGCAAACATCAGAGTGTACTTGAATTGTTTTCAGTGTACCTTCTAGCCAAAATGTTTCTGAAATTCAAGTCTTTCTTTATTGACACAATTAATGTAAATAGAGCCAACATTTAATTAAAATTGTTTATTTATTTTCAAGCAAGCATTCTTATTAGATATAGCAAAAAATACGCAAAATTATGTTTTGACAGCAGAAAGTTTGACAAACAAAAAGAGTTGGGAGAATAAATCGTTTCAAATATTGACAGTGCACTACTTTGCAAAAAATATAAATAAAAGCAGTAAATAGATGGAGATTAAGTAGAGAGGAAAGTGAAGGAAGTTCTTTTTCATATCCTTGCAGGGGTCATTTTAATTTTATCATGAAATGTGTAACTTATAGAAGGAGACACCTCCGAACGCATAAAGTATATATATTCCAGATCCGCTTCAATAGCCGAGTTGATAAAGTCACTTATTCCATATTACATAAATGATAAATAGATAAAGATATATACCAGATATATATGCAACAATTAAAATGCAATTAAAGCCAAGTGCCAAGTTCTTGCATCCATCAGTAAGAAGTTCTTAAATGAATTTTGATTATATATTGACTTAATATTTGAAAAGCAGCAAAAAGCAGAGGAATTTGATAAGAGCAGATTGTGGAGGCAAAGTGAGTTCTTAAGCCCAATAAACTAAAATTTTTCATAAATTTCTGTATTTCTGCAAACCTGCAATTAAAGCCAAGTTAAGTGCCAAGTTCATGCGCTTGCGCATAGTTTTCTATACAGGCTGCTTGTCGCATACTTACAGCGCGGACTGTAATTGCAGTTGCTGCTGCAGCAGCTCCCACTTGATTGCCCCGTAACCCCGCCCTAGAACGTGTAACCACATTAAATTTGAACTGTTTGGCTGTGAACACTCGAAGCTCTTGTGACTGACGCGTGATTTGCTTGAAAGTAGATCCGCAGCTTGAATCGCATATATGGAAGTGTGTGTGTATCTGTGTGTGTAGAGCTCTCCGGCTGTACAAAGTTTCGCGTTTGTTTAGCTGTTGTTGCCGCATTTGGCCGCTGAATGATTGTGCTCGGAGGGGGCCGATTGAAAAATGCGCCGCACTGCATTGATTTATTGTGCTCGCCCCCGGCGAAGAGTCAATCGTGTTGTTGGCACAACAATCAATGAGTGTGGCAAATGCGATCGTCAACAGCAGCAGCAGCCGAAGCAGCAGCAGCCGCAAACTGCATCTCACCATATTCGGTGGAATGCCTGAAAATGGTTAGAAAATTTCCAACGGGCTTTTCACTAGCAAAGTTATTTGCAGGAAACGAATTATTTTGTACCCTTTGCTGCTGTTACTAAGTAATAAGAACTGATTAGTAATAAGTTAGTTAGTTGTTGTTAGTTAGTTGTTGTTAGTAATAAGAACTGATTTTAGTTATTGAAAAAAGTTTCAAAGACTTAATACTTACGATTTTTTCACTTGCATGTTGACTTACGGTTTGTCGCGGCGTATACTTAATTTATATTTATATATTTTAAATATATTTATTTTTTGCTGTAATAAAATATATTTAAAAATATATACTTATATGTATTATATATATTTAAAAGTATTTATTTATATATTTTAAATATATTTTGATATGTATATATTCATATATATTTTAAAATATTTATTTATTTATTTTAAATATTTATTTTATAGCATGCAAACTAATTTGTTGCTGATTTTCAGAACAACCTGATATATATTTTTTTGATGAAGTTGTTTTGAGCTTTCGTTAATTGTTGACCAAAACATATTTTATAATAAAACTAATAAGCAAAGAATAATCTGTTCTGCTATTCAGTTTTAAGCTTGAAAAACTGAATCAACTTAATTTCGTACTTTTACTTTACGTTTACTTGTTTTAGAACCACCTGTTGCACTTATATACCTTGGAATTTAATTATACTCTTATCGTAATGCCTATACCTGGTTATTTTTACATTTTTCATACAAATTATTTAAAATTTATAGGCATATTTAATCTTACAATTAAGACCAAGGCATCTGTTCTATTCCTCATTTGAGAATGCAAATTCATTCAATTGCTTCCGTTTTTCAGAACATCCTTCCAAAAAATTGCAACTTCATTTAGTTTTAAAACAAATTTGAAACCTATTAAGCCAATTTATAACACATTTATTATTTTATATCTTACATATACAAGCTTGCTAAATTGAAATAAAAAGCCTTTGCGATTCCGTCTGTCTGTTTTTCGGAACACCCTGATCATATATTCGACTGACACTTAAATGTGTTAATTTTTTCTAATAACAACTTAATTTTCTAAAGTCAATTTCGACTATGCAGGCTAGGGTATTGCCGCCAAGCTTTCAGCTCTCGTCCGCTGCGCATTCCCCAATAAAAAACAGTCTCTGTGGGAAAGAGAAAAAAGTGCATAAATGGCAAAAAAAAAGGAGAAGAACAAGAAGAAAAACAAAAACGACATCGATAGAGATAAGAGCAACCAGTGTTCGTGGCTGGGTGAAATGACTTCGAGTTGGATTCGGTATTTGGATTCGTTGGATTCGTTGGACGGCGACTCTCTGGCTGGCTGTTGGGGCCAAAACGCGCTCTGGCTCGGGTGCTGGCAATTCGGCCAGCCGTTAGTCGTCGGCAAAGACGCGCTGGCAACGCTTGTCGCAAACGAAAGTCGGGAAACGGCATTTGGGTAACCGTCAATCGATTTGGCAGATTCACGTCAGATGGAAATGAACGGAGGCGGCGGACAGTGCATGCAATTGAAGTGAAGTGTGTTGTTGTTGTTGTCGTTGTAATTATTGTTGTTGTTGTTGTATTGGCGGCGTGTGTGCGAAAGTGTGAGACCTGATTAGAGGCGATTGCACTGGGCGTTGATAATGATAGCCGGAACGACAATATTATGATAATCCTTGTATTCCGAGACTTGGCAGACAACGCGTGACGCCAGCTTTCGTTGTTGCTGCTGCTACTTGGCTGTTCTTTATGCATATATACTTATATATAAACATTATATACTTATATATCCACTTGAGCACATATTTGCGCACATTCTTGACCAGAATTTCTTTGTTGTCTGCGCATTTGCCAAATAATTCATTCTTGTTTATAAACAAAAAAAAATTGGCCATTAAATTTGGCCAATTTGATCACGTTTACGCTGTGTGTTTGCGCAAATACAAATTGCAGTTTGTTCAATAAATTCATAATTCAATAAAATCCCAGCTAATTGACGTCATTGTATGTGTGGCCCCGCCACTCACACATGCACACATATGAATTTGAGTGGAAGCATTCAAATAACACAATGCTATTCAAAACAAAAAACAGCTGATTTTCTTGCGCTCCCAAAAACAACCACCAAAACAAAAACAAACAAATACAATCATATTTACTTGCTCTCTCTCTCTCGTCCACATTACACATTGCCTGCTCATTCACCGCTCTCCCACTCTCGCCCACACTTACACTTTTTGCTGGCTCATTTGCCTGCTATTTGTTGTTACAAATTTAACTTGTTGAAAAAACTTTGCAGCTGACTTGTCGTTACCCATTTCATACTCTCGCATGGCGAATTTCTTGTGAGCAGCGAATGTCAAGTGTAGCGCGAGAGCGAGAGAGGGAGTGTATTTGTGCGAGATAGTGCAGTTGAATAAATCAGCCATCAGCTGGCGTTCTGCCCGCTGTCGTCCATTGCCCCCGTGTTTGCCATC